TATTGCTATTATAAACTGGTCACCAACGTAATTAGAGCAGTAAAATAAATGATTTGTCATACCCATGGTATATGGTCTGATATACCACGGCTGTCTGCCAATCAGCATTCAGGGCTCGAACAACCCAGTTTATCTTTTCAGTTGAGACACCTTTTGACACATGCTGCATCAATCTCGTGTGGCATGCATCAGCTTACACAGTATGTATTCTAATTTATAAACATCTCTTTAACATGGTGGTGTTAATAATAGGCCTACATATATAATACCACTGTCTTAGTGTCAATGTTTCTGTGTTCTACACAATGTTAATACTGAGAGAGAGAGGAACGAGAATGAGAGGCAAAGAGGTGATGTGAGCTCATAATATATAGTTAATGTTGCATGTTGGGTATGGAAGGGACTAGTTTACATTGGTAGAAGTAGGCCTACATGGAGCACATGAGGCTCGCTGAAGAATTTCCGTAAACAGAGGTTTCTTATTTCCAATGAAACGATATACCACGGCTTTCAGTCAATCAGCATTAAGGGCTCGAACCATCCAGTTTATAAAACACCAATATTGCTCTCTATGTAGATTCAGAGTGTAGGCTGTCTGAGTTCTGTATTGCAGTTATATCAAATATGTTCACCATTGGCAGACTTTTTATACTGTTGACACATTTTCTTATGCACAAAAAAAAAAGGTCATTTTGGTTTTGTACACAGTCATATGATACGTGGTATAGAAAAGTAGGCTACAATCATAGGCGAGTACATGGGGTGCTATATTTTGGCAAACTATCTATCTAGTCAAAATCTCTTAGGCAGGTCCTCCTCCACCCACTGGTGGTATGGATAACTTGTAATTAGCCTATGTCTCCAGAGAAACATAGATTCAAAGAAAGGTCCTATACAGTATATAAAATTAGCCTATTGTAGGCTGGGGTCAAAATGACAATGTAAGTCAAAATTGATACAGAAACATTAAACAATGATGAATATTTGTTAAGAACAAGTTGATTGACAAAGTCATGAAACATTTGAAGAATTGTATTAACCGCCTTTGAACTATGATACAAAAATATGCCTCTGGGGTCAAAATACCCCAGTCGGTAGTATGAGGGTTAACACACATAAACAACATTAACTCAACAAAACTTGATAGAAGTACATCGAAAATAGTATAATTATGCTAGCCTAAAAACTGCACAACATAGGAAAGAGAACTCGTTTTTGCCCTGGCCTATGCAAATTAATATTTGTGTCACTCTTATGGCTTGGTAGTATGGTGAGGTATACACTCAGAGAATAAAAGGTGCTATCTATACTGAACAAAAATATAAACGCAACATGCAACAAATGTCCACTATTTTACTGAGTAACAGTTCATATAAGGAAATCAGTGCATTGAAATAAATAAATAAATTAGGCCCTAATCTATGGATTACACATGACTGGGCAGGGGCGCAGCAATGGGTGGGCCTGGGAGGGCATAGGCCCACCCACTTGGGAGACTGGCCACCCACTGGGGAGCAAGGCCCAGCCAATCAGAATGGGTTTTTCCCCACAAAAGGGATTTATTACAGACAGAAATACTCCTCAGTTTCATCAGCTGTCTGGGTGGCTGGTCTCAGACAATCCCACAGGTGAAGAAGCCGGATGTGGAGGTCCTTTGCTGGCATGGTTACATGTGTTCTGCGGTTGTGAGGCCGGTTGGACTTACTGCACATTTTCTAAAACGACGCTTATGGTAGAGAAATTAACATTACATTCTCTGGCAACAGCTCTGGTGGACATTCCTGCAGTCAGCATGTCAATTGCACGCTCCCTCAAATCTGTGGCATTGTGTTGTGTGACAAAACTGCACATTTTAGAGTGGCCTTTTTTTGTCCCCAGCACAAGGTGCACCTGTGTAATGATCATGCTGTTTAAACAGCTTCTTTATACCACACCTGTCAAGTGGATGAATTATATTGGCAAAGGAGAAATGCTCACTAACAGGGATGCAAATAAATTTGTGCACAAAAGTTGAGAGAAATATAATTTTTGTGCGTATGGAACATTTCTGGGATCTTTTATTTCAGCTCATGAAACATGGGACCAACACTTTACATGTTGCGTTTATATTTTTGTTCAGTAGAACCTTAAAGGGTTCGTTGGCTGTCTTCATAGGAGAACCCTTTGAATAACTATTTTGGGTTCCATGTAGAATCCTTTCCACAGAGGGTTCTTCATGGAACCCAAAAGTGTTCTACCTGGAACCCCAAAAGGTTTTTCCTGGAACCAAAAAGGGTACTCCTATGGGGACAGCCGAATAACCATTTTGGAACTCTTTTTTTCTAAGAGTATAGCCCATTACTTTTGTAAATAAACCAACAGGAATAAACCTTTGGCTCACCCGGTCATGTTTTGAGAGTCAATACATTCCACCTAAATGAATGTGTCCCTGTGTCCCTAGGCTAAAATAGCCATAAACAACGTCTGTTTCAGATTGCTCCACAATTTCATTGTGGTGTAACCACATCTTTAGCCAATACAAGCAACGCAAACAGTAATGGAGGACATTGTTTTGGAAAACACAAGTGCACGAATTGTGTTTATAGCCCTCTCCCTACACACACACACACTCTCTCTCTCTCTCTCTCTCCTCCCCCTCTCTCTCTCCCCCTCTCTCCCCTCTTCCCCTCTTCCCCCTCTCCATCTCTCAAATTGGCCGTTTTAAAGACATACATCTTGAGAAGCCGGAGTAGACGCTCCTCTAATCTAAACAGCACTCTGCTGATGGCGAGCGGATGAGATTATGTCTTTCTCTCCGCACGGTTTAGGCGCTACCGGGGCTTTTGTCCCTGGCGCCTGTCCTGGGCACTGTAGACAGGCAACTTGAGGAGAGGAGAGGTGTAACATTACAACATCTCTGATTTGCCCTCTGGATCTGCGATAAAGTTTGCTTGCAGACGGTGGTCCATATATCTGAACATATATTTAATACACCAATATTCAACAGGCTGTCACTTAGCAGTGTGTGTGTGTTCCACTGTATGGGTGTCATCGTCCATGCTTGGGTCTCATTTTGAAATGTTGATCAGTGTTGTATAGTCTAAACCCATTTCCTGCATCTGTCTTCCTAGGACTAAAACGTATATGGTCTAAAGGAGAGGGGCAAGGCATTCAGAAAAGTAAATAATATTGCAAAGTTATAAAACATCTCAGCACAAATAGTCGCGGTGCCCGACGCGCAGTGTGCTCTGTTTTCTGTCTGTCCTCGACGAGAGGAGCCAGTAGACACAGTGGATAGTACTAGAGTGAGAAAATGGCAGGTCTGGATCCTGTCTACATACACTTTATTCTCACCCTATTTCTCTTTGCTTCTTGAAAAAAATCGGTTAAATTAGTCTGCAACTACATAATAAGTTGCGTGTTTTGCTTTTAGTTGTGAACCAATCAACCAGGCCAAAAACATGTATTCAAAACAAAATTCAAAACAAATATTAAAACCTTTAATATTCAGAACAAATCTAACTATTTAGAGTTATTTGTTGGCTGTAGACCACTTGTACTTGGTCACATCATTATATAGGATAACTGTATCAAAATTGGTAAGTGAAATTGTTCCAATTTAGATTAGCCAATAAGGCCTTCAGAGCTTTCCTATATCTTTGACTTCATTAATTCAAACAATAAATTAATTATTCACACAAGCATGCGAGGACAGACTGCGAAGTAATAGCGTAAGTAAATGCCTATAATTGTAGTCCTAATATTATGATAACTCATTGCCTATTATTATAGTTTGGATATTTTTTTAAATGTATATAAATAAAAGCTTTAGGCTACGTTTATTATCATATTTTCAACACAATTCTAAGACAGAAATATCGAAATGTTTCTTACAATCCTCAAGCGAATATGCAATGCAAACGAAAATGTGTGTGAATGAACATGACAATGCGGTATTTTATGTTTTTCAATGATTCCCTTGTAAGTTTTTGTTTGTTCATTTAATAAATGTATGGGGAAAACGTCTTCGTTTTGGGTTTTTTAAATGTGTTGTTGTTTTATAACCTTACCAAATACTAGGTACGCCTATATCCGTTGTATTTACTTAGTGACCGGTAAAAAAAATACTTCACACAGTAGAAATACAAATAGACTTGTAAATGTCCGTAGAAGTAAATGTTTAAGTTGTTACGAATGTGCACAGTATTGTGTAGCCTATCAATTAGTAATACAGTAAAGCAATCGTTAGCCTATAATTCTGTCATAATCGCGGTTTGTGGAAAGAGGAAAATAAGATTTGGGTTATCTAAGAGTGTGTGATGATGGGAAGAGTAGCCTAGAGAGAGAGAAAGAGCGAGCTTAAATCGGAAACTACACTGATAGCAACAGATAACGTGTCATTAATATCAGTATTCCTCTCTATGCTGCGTATCAGCTGATAAGCAGCATGTTTTCTTAGCCTATTAAACCAGCCAAAAAGAAACCGTCTCAACCATGCAGGCCTGCACACACACTGACTCAATCTCTCTCTCTACACACAAGACATATATGGTTCTTCTTCTTCCATTTGTATAATGAGGAAGGCTACAACTATGTTGAGTTCATTATAGTTTGTCGGTTACTATTCCATTTTTACACTATTCAATGTGACCTCGGCTATATGCAAACCATTAACAGATATATGATGAAAACAGGTCTCCTACCTGACAAGAAATTGCATGCAGAGGTTCTGAGAGCTGATACCACATTCACATTATTCTAGCGTAGACCTACTTATTTTTACATTTCCAATTTAAATAAAGAGATGTGTTTATTTCGGCCTGGAATCATGTAACATAATATACCATTTCAATAGTTGTTACTTGATAATCTTCTCTAAACTCTAAATACAGAGAAGAGCTTGCGCCCTCGCTCCATACAGTCACCCATCCCATTTTCTCGTGACGTCACGGGGAGGGAAAGAAGCGTCTGCCTTGAGTCCTCCAACAACAGAAACTGCATCTCACCAAATCCCCCAACTAGCTAAACAGACACAGCAGGCGAGGCAGAGAGAACAGGGCAGAGAGATGAGAGCTGTCACTTCACGAAACAAACCAGTCCTCTTTCGCATAACTCCATGAACAAACAAGCAAGGCTCAGCAATCATTTAGGCTACTGTAGAGGTTTTATTTTTTCTTCTTCAAAGAGACGAATAGACCCCCTTTTGGATCCGTTTACTCTTAAATACCGTCCATCCAAACAAACACCTGCTTGAGGAGTTCTTTATGCTCGGATGAGCCACTTCACCAAGGGACTATAATTCCTACTTCATGTGAACGAATAAGTGCCGATGATCATAATGCTTGCTAGCCCTGTTATTTCTGCCTCCACCACGCCGTTCTCAGTCAAGGACATACTGAAGTTGGAGCTTCAGCAGCAGTCTCAGCAGCAGCGGCTCGCCTCACACCTTGGGCCGCCCCATGAGTGCTCTCACCCCGGGCCGCAGCAGCACGGCTTCGCCATCCAGTCGCCCCCGTCTTGTATGCTGGCCGGCAGAGACAGGGACAGTCCCAGCCCCGGGCTCTTGGAGAGAGAGGCGAGGATGTCCTACCTGAGTAGTCTGACGGTGCAGGAGCGGCTGATGGAGACGTGTCTTGCCGGGGAGATATTCACTTCCCCGGGGCTACAGGGACACTCAGCCGACACCAGCCTGGAAGTTGAGCAGGAGGACATCGACACCAGTGAGTGGGTGTTCGATTACCAGCATACATAGTATCCTAACTATTTGATTTTAAAAGAAAGTATTATATTCTATTATTCTAGCTCTATTATGATTGCTGTATTCTAGATTATCATGCTCGTTTATTAAGTCCGATTACATGATAATACACCCATAATACACCCATTAATATATATTTTTTATTCCATTTAACTAGACAACTTAAGTTTAACGATTATTACAATATTAGCGCCATTTATAGAAAGCGATAGCTTGTAAATGTCTCACTTGAAAAATATATTTGTCATCTACATGCAGCGCACACCTGTAAATAAACGATAAATAGTTTTGGAGAAAATAACGCTCCAAACGACAGCATTTTGACAAATCGTGCATGGCCGAATCACCAGATATAAATATATATGAGCAATCCAACATCATTCGTTTTAAGAAATAATTTAAAGAGCCATGTTGTTTGTCAGATAAATGTACCTACTGCACTGAAATTAACCTTTAGATAAGACAGAAATGATGTTCCGCACACTTGATTTCCTTTTTAGAAATTACAAGTAATATTGGGCCAAATGCTTTAATTAGGCCTATACGTTGAATACAACCTAATTATTTAATGTATTTACTATTTAGGGTGATGTCAGCATTAGTGGGACATCAAGTGTAGTGGGACATTTGTGTTTGAGGGTACTGTACTATGGTAATTTTGCAACCCAATCAGAACAAATGTCATTGGGTTGTTGCAAATGTGTTCTCGGCATGAAAACATGGTTTTGTTTAGTGTGGTCAGATTTCTTAGATGGGGTGACCCGTTGAAACTCCTGAAAAAACGTCATACATATGAAACCTTGAGCTAGAATGATAATTCTGTCCTTCTGTCAATTACAATTCAACAATCTAGCTTTTTAATAACCATTCATGTAAACAGTTATGAATGCGTAGCTGCTGGAAGTAGGGGCGCTGAGGGTGCTGCAGCACCCCCTGAAAAAACTGCATTGAATGACAGTGGAAGGCATTAGAGGGACATTACAAGAGTATAAAAGAAAGAAAGGAAACACAATGACATGAAAAGGAGGATAGAAAATAGGCTACATTTATGAAAGGGGACAGAATTTGAATATGGGGGATAGTAGAGGTGTTTCAGGATCAAGTAAAAGCTGTGCAGACTCCTTTAGTTAGATTTTCACCAAGAGCTTGGAATGTCCCCAATTCAATTTTCTAAGGGCATGGAGGGGGGTTCAATAAAATATTATTGTATAAAAACAGAGAGTGTGTTATCTACAAGCCTCTACAAAGGCTTATTAGTGAGTTCATAACAAGTGTGAGGTGAAGTGGAACACTAATGTATTTTTCTAATGAGAAAATAGTATCCTAGTAAAAAAATATCTAAAGTGTCCCACCAACACTGATAGCCATGCTTTAGCAAAGGTACGGGTCTGATGTTGTTTTGGGGTTTTTAGCATCTCCTGAATAATAAATGATCAAGTTGTTTCATCATAAAAATGTAGATAAGACCTTAATTAATTAAAAATAAACATCACTTGAGTATGTGTAGACTGATTTTGATTGTCTACATAGTGATCTACCAAAAAGTGTCCCACTTTTGCATTTCACCCTATTTAGACCAGGGATGTAAAAAAAATGAAATAAAAAAAACTCAGTCAGTCTCAAATTACTGTTGAGCTAACATATTTGAGATTGGTAAATTAGTCTAGCCAGCTATCTAAACTTGTAGTAATCATGGTTGAATTACCAACCCGGGGGCCCCCATTGATTTTGTTAGTCACTCTCACTCAGATATCATGTTAAAAACTGCAAACATTTATCTCCATACTACATTTCACTTAGGGCCCCCAAAAGGCTAGGGCCGGCTCTGACTACATGTGTGGTGGGTAGGGATGTGGGTATGCAGACCCGTGAGCCACTGCCACTACTCATGATGAGTTCAGATTTCTTTTTTCTTTGTTGCCCATCCCTGATTTAGATGTTCCCATTAAGATGAATAAATAGATTTTAAGTAAAAACCAGTTTCAAGCCACAGACTACATGAAAACAACAATATTTTAACAACAAATCATAGGTAGGCCTATCGATTTCATTTTCCCTGATAGGCTAAATTGATATTCGTGTCATTGATTAGTCAAAGACTCCACTCTGCTGGTGTCCAATGTCTAAATCAGTGCCTAGAGGAATTATGAAAAACATCAGTAGCCTGCGGACCTCCAGGATTAGAATAGCTATTTTGTATAGAATGAAAGAATGGATTGATCTGTCGTCAACTATGACTAAAATATCTCCCCCCTCTCTTTCTCGAGAACCTTGTGGCCTAATAGGAGTGAGGGACTGCGAGGAGTCCACGCAGGCGCACTCGGACTTGGAGAAACCCCCAAAACAGCAGAGGACCCGGAGGAAACCACGCATACTCTTTTCCCAGGCGCAGGTGTTCGAGCTCGAGCGGCGCTTCAAGCAGCAGCGTTACCTATCCACCCCGGACAGGGAACACCTGGCGGACACTCTGAAACTGACCTCCACACAGGTCAAAATCTGGTTTCAGAACAGGAGGTATAAGTGTAAACGGCAGCGGCAGGACAAGACCCTAGAGATGGCCGGACACCCACACCATCCTCCCCCGCCAAGGAGAGTGGCAGTCCCGGTGCTGGTGCGTGATGGGAAGCCCTGCCTGGCTGGATCTCAGAACTATAATACATCCTACACTGTTGGAGTGGGTAGCCCCTATAGTTATAATGGCTACCCGGCATACAATAACCCGGTATATACTAACACTTACTCATGCACGTACTCCAGCCTGCCTGCTCTAGCGCCCAGCACTACTGCTAACGCCTTTATGAATATGGGTCTAGGGAACCTGGGAGTGTCGCAGTCTCAGGCCCAAACACCACAGGGAACAGCCTGCCAAGGAACTCTGCAGGGCATTCGGGCCTGGTAGCTGAATGTGTTGATCTTCAATTTAAAAACATTTGCTTTGTTGATCAAAAGTTGATCAAATTGATCACTAGTATTTTGGTATAAGGAAAAACCTTTCTGTGTCCCATGCAGCGCAATAAGGATTTCTCGTTGAAAGCCGTCATATTGAGACTAATTTTGTACAAAGAGACTAGATGTTTCATCATCAACGGCAAAAACGTGTTTTTGAAAGTTGTTGGACTATTCCAGAGTCACTGTTGGATATAGATATATACTGTGACAGCATTGTAGACTGCCTAAATCCCCATGCGCAACTGTGCGCAATATGGCCTAAACTATTGGGTGCATATCACTCAGGATGTGAATGGCCTATGCTGGTAAACATTAGCAATGATTATATCTGAGCTCTTTACTTATATAAATATTACTTTATATGTAGCCTGCTGCACAAGGTAAAGTGGTCATTACCAGTGAAAACATTATTAAAACAACATAACAGAAAATCCCTAAATAAAAGATCAAAAATCCATGAGGATATTTTTTCTGCAGCCTTTCTTTTGTTACTTTGACATGTATCCTCATATTGTGCACATGAACAATGCCTGCTTAGTATGTTTTGTTGTTGTTGAAAATAAGCCTTTATTGAGAAATAAAGTGAAACATTTTGGTATCAAAATGAAGGCATATGTTGATTATATTTTCAGAGGGAAAATACAATTGTGGTATCTTTGCACTCTCGCAGTTTAGAAAATAGTTTCGAATGCGGCTGATATAATACACAGTATGAAACTGCAATAGGGCATTGGTTACAGGTCAGTGTCCCATGCTGCTTTGTCAGTCTATAGGCCTAATGACATTTACCATGAGGGGTATAAACGGTCTCTTGGGAACCTGCTAAGGGCAACACTATGTGTGTGTGCGTGAGAGAGAGAGAGAGAGAGAGAGAGAGAGAGAGAGAGAGAGAGAGAGAGAGAGAGAGAGAGAGAATGCGATTTTACACCTTATGAAACTTGAGGTGGCTGGTCAAGTTCCTTCAATCCCATTTAGAAAAGGTGTGCTGTGTTTGTACATAAACGCATAAATATGTGTGCACAAATGTCGGATTTATTCATGGCGTTTTTAAAATGCTTTGATTGACAGTGGTTGAAACGATAGGCCTAGCCTACTTTCTGATACTGTATGTTCTCATTGTTGGCCATTGAGAAGCGCGCTTTAGTTTTGTACAGGTTCTCCAGAAGTGCCCCGCACATTAAGGACGTTTAGTCTCTGTTTTGCATTTGACAAATTCAGTTCCACATCTTTTTTTTCAGGCCAAAAATTATGCTGATTATTTGCAATCTAAGGATACAATTAAACTTCCGAAGGAAAAATAATAATAACGAAAATACATCACGATTAAAGTAAATTAATCGTCTTCATGTTATGATATGTTAGGCTATACCAAAAATAAATGTTTGAGATATGGCTCCAGCATACTGTTCGCCATCGAAGTCCGTTTTCCAGCCGTCGCTTTGGAAGAGCTGAAGAGAGATGCATATATAGCAGAGCAGGCCAGAAACACAGACAGACACAGACAAGAGCCAGAACTCAGACAGACAGAATGGAGAATTTAGGCTAGAGACAGACGTTATCCAGACAATGCGCTATGATGGTCTGATCGCGCACCCACGGAGGGCCAACAAGGACATTCTAGGCCTAGGCCTAGGCTAGCATAGTATGCTGAACTGATCTCTTACTAATGGCCTAGTATAGAGCCCCACAGTGGAGGTGTCTTGATACCCATAAAACCTAGCGGTCAAACAGGAAAATGGTTCCAATCGTTTTTCCACCATTCATTTTTCCCATAGGGGATTTTAGAAACACTTCTAATAAGGACTGTGTTTCTTGTAGGCTTACCCTGGCATGACGTTTTGATACCCATGTAAATCTCTCTTGGACAAGGTGACTTTTATCAACATATTCAGCTCTATTTACTCTCAGATTCGAAAATGCTAGTTAGCATCAAAGTAGACATCATGTAAGGCTACAAATCCCTGCAAGCTCCTGCACATTATTTCTAGCTGACACCTTTGCTAACAGGTATTGTGTCAATTTAAAACTTGCACAAGACAGTTCACAGAATTGTACATTTAAAGACATTTAGCCAATTTATTCATTACTACATTTAGCTAACATTAAGTAGTTAATACATAGACTCTTACCTTTGCCTCGGCAGTCTTGTCCAGATCATCATGGCATTTGTAGTTCTTTATGATAGCCACATTAGCAGCTAATTAGTGTTTAATTTTGGGGGGATAAATACAGGCAAATATAAAGAGATTTACATGGTTATCAAACCTCCCGCCAGGGTAAGCATACACGAAACACAGCCCTTATTTTAAGTGTTTATAAAAAAACATATGGGAAAAATAAAAGGGTGGAAAAACGATTGGGACCATATCCCTGTTTGAGGACCTTACTGTGATTGTTTTCAATTAAAAATTGTCAAAAATAAACACAAATATCTTGTTAGCAGAGAGCAATTTCTCAAGCAAGAATTTTGTTATGACTGTCTGGGCAACAAGCTCTAATCAAAAGAGGAACCACTGTGCCCTCCCAGAAGCTTGGCTGGTGCGTAAACCCACGAATTCAGACAAACAAAAAAGTGTAATGGGTTCGCATTCAAAAATATGTTGCATAAAGCTTACTTCATTATTACATTTTCACTGCATCAGGGATAACGTACACAGACTTTTCGGCTTTACAGCCTTCTTCAGTGTGTAGGTACAATTTTCTTTGAATTCAAAACAGCATTTGTAGAGAACAACCGATGAGCAGCAGGTGTCACGAAGAAATACAGAATTATAAGGTAAGGGAGCGGGCAAAGGGCAACTCACGAATCAACTGCTCCCCATGTGTCCACTCACCTGAATACATCATATCAATTAATTAGCTAGCCCACCACAAAGGACATCAGGCACAGCCATTCATAAATATGTGGGGCCAACTCATAAACAATATGCAAAATCTGATATTTACATTGTTCTTGTATAACAGTCTAAATTTGGCTTATAGGAAGGAGGTGAAATCTAATTCTTCATTTAAACCATGTGGAGACAAACTCTCACAGTCTCACTGCAGAATTAGACATTCATCCACGTTCTACAAACGTAAAATGTTGAAGTTGCTCCAAACGTCAAATTTCGAATAACTTTTGTTTCTCCTACTGCTCTTTATCATTCCATTTCTCCAAATGTCAAATTTCGAAGTTCAAGGTTAAGTTAAGGAACTCACTCATTGCAAATGGTTAAGGTAAGGGTTAAGGTTTGGTATAGGGTTCAATTTTCTTTAAAAAAAAAAAGTGTCCACGACTGGGATCGAACACACAACATTCTGATCCAGAGTCATGGCATTACCCATGGGATTACTCATGGGGTAATAGTGCTCACTGTTGCCCCTATTGGCCGGTTTGAAGGCATTTCCCTCAGTTTCGATGTCAGTCTTGAACAACCTGGCTGGTCCAGGAGTGGTCTGTGGGGTGGGGAAAACTGAAAGCTACCTGTTGTTAGCAGAGAGGTTTGGAACTCTCTTATTGGTCTATTAATTAATTTACCGACTGGTGATGTCACCAGGCAGGCCAAAACTCCCTCCCACATTTCAGGCAGTCTTTTCAAACAGCTCTTACACTAAAAAGGGCATTCTCATCATTTTCACAGTTTTATTCCAAACTCATAGTGTGGAAATATATGACTGCACCAGGCCTTTAACCTGTGAAACTGAAATTAGACTGAGTTGCCTTAATTCGATTTGTCATTGGATGAAGGCCTGAACCAATTAGAAACAGTGATTACATAGTTGGGTTGCCACTTTTTCCACTACTTTTGCCCTTGAGGAAATGTCACTGTGTTCTCATGGTAACTTCCATCCAACTTCCCACCTATAAAATGGGAAACATCCCATTGGGCACACACTGGTTGAATCAAGGTTGTTTCCATGTAATTTCAACGAAACTGATCCGATATGTAGACGCCATTAATGGAGATGAAAAAAAACGTAAACAGTGTTTGTCTCCAGTGATAGGCCTCTTCCCCTGGCTATACTGCACTGCCGGTAGAGGATACCTATGTCAGGGTAAGTGGCAGAGAGACCCTAAAGTAAATAGAGATAGCGACAGGAGGGCGATGCCTGAGGACGCGGTGTGTGTGAGTGAGTGTGTGTGTGTGTGTGTGTCACAGCGTGTGTGCCTGCGCGCATGTGTGTGTGGAGAGTGAGTGCCACAGCCGTGATTGCTATCTATCGCTGTCAAAGATAGCAGTTCATCCACAAGGCGCACGGCTCTCACGGAGTTTCCTAAAACAGTCTCCCACGGTTACAGAGAACAAAGGCCAAATATAGAGTAGGCCTATAGACAGCTATAGGCCAAGCAGAGTAACTTAAATACTGATGGACAACCTTACTCCTTCATCCTGGTCTACCCAAGCAGCAGCAGCAGCTGTCAGCGTGGTTGGGGAATGACAGAGATGCGCTCCGGATCCCCGGATGGAAAGAGTAGAGGCATAGATAAACATGTCTAGGCTGTAAAATAGCATTATATAGGCCTATGTAGGCTATATGTTTGCAATATCTATGCTTCTGAATAAATGTGAATCATACAGAATTTTAGGAGATTGTGATGATGCTGAAAAAAGTATATATTCGTTATGCATGCATAGAACCCTACAATAGGTAGGCTACAAATATCCTGTAATATAGGCTACCATGAACACCTGTAGGTTTGCTTAACAGAATTTCCATTACTTCTTCTCTAGACATGTTTTGACACCTCCGGGCTGTGTGTTCTCTTTAGTCAGAGCAGAGAGAAAGAGAGACCTCTCTGTTTAGTCAGGGGACCAAAACACAACCAAGAGGCAAGATCACTCACCTGTCATCACATCAATGAAAGGTAGGCCTGAAGGTTGCACAATATGGACAGAGACAGCAAGGGAGGTGTGTGTTTGTACACGTGTGTACGTGCGTGTGCACGTGCGGAGGGGGACTGCGAGTAGCTGCGCATCAAGGTAACGTGTGTATTTAGGTAGATACGCCACAACTATTTTAAATGAGGTTAAAAAGCTTTAAAAAAAAAATAATCTAGACTAGGCTAATGACAGAAAAATCCAATCACAAAAAATATATATACAACTGAAAATGTAGGACAAAAAGTTATTTTAAAAATCCCAAGAAAGTAAGAACAATGGAATGTCTCAATAAAAGCATGATCAAACATGAAACATAATTACATGTTTAGTCATTTAGCAGACGCTCTTATCCAGAGCGACTTACAGTTAGTGAGTGCATACATTTTTCATTCTGGCCCCCCGTGGGAAACGAACCCACAACCCTGGCGTTGCAAGCGCCATGCTCTACCAAGTGAGCTACAGGGGACCTTAGCAATGTGTAGTTACGTATTATGTAAACAGTTTCCCACAATTATTGTATTTAGAGGACATATAGGCTACCCTAATTATCATGACACATTTTCATTTGAGATCATATTCAGATTATTTTTGTTCTATCGTGAAGATCAGCTCTGTGTTGGAGCCACTTGTCAAGGCGCAGGCTGTATTTCAATACTCTCTCAAACCAATGTTATGACTGAGCCATTCTACTGAGTGTGGTAATAATTACTACCACAGGGTGGCGCTACTTACTCATGAACTAACTAACATTGACAGCAAGTTAAATTAAAGTGAGCTGATTACTTACAGAATGTAGGCTATTATATTCACGCGCAATGATCCTCTGAGTCTTCCCCTTTCCAAATACATCAACCTCACCATGGTTGCCAGAAGAGCTGCTGTAAGATGGATGACCGTGTTCTTTCTGTTGCTGAAATGTTCTAGTTTCTAAATCACGTGTCAAAGTCATTACAAGGAGGGCGGAGGGTCTGCGGGTTTTCGCTCCACCCTTGTACTTGATTTATGAATTAAGGTCACTAATTAGTAAGGAACTCCCCTCACCTGGTTGTCTAGGTCTTAATTGAAAGGAAAAACCGAAACCCGCAGACACTTGGCCCTCCGTGGAATGAGTTTGACACCCCTGAGAGTCCCTTAACAATTCACTTTCACATTTCTCTAAAATCGCATGAGTAATTGAGGTGCTCGTTGGTTTCTCCATCCCTTTCTTCACTTGACCATAACTAAGATATGTTGTTGTTAGGCATACTCTTTTAAAACAATCTCTTATGAAGGCCTAAAATGTTCTGCTCATCCCTTCAGCAAATACAGGAAATGCCACACCTGAGAAAACCACGAGGGTAATCAGCGCTTCACTCACTGTACAAACATTGACCTACAGTATATAGGCCTACTACATTCACCTGATATTTGATCCGTTATGTACACACGTAAACTTTAAATATTTATTTGATTGAACAGTCATTTCGCTGAAAGTTTTGCAGCGTTTGATCCAAGGGACATGCATAGCCTACTGTTTAGGCCATTTTACGCACCATTTTAGCTTCAAATCCACATCAAGGCAAAAGCACAGGAAAGGTGATTAGGACTGTAAACATTTTAATGAGTGTCAGAAAAACGTTCTAAAACCATGAGAAAAACAAAAAAAAACAGGACCGTCTATGAAAGTAACTTTTTGTTACTAGTTACAACCAAATGGACAGAGGGGCGAAGCACACATTTGCGGACAAAAATTTTAAAAAAATACTATATGTCGGCTCCCTGTTTTAATGTCACCCTCTTTACTAAAATTAATGTAGGCTAATATTGAAATGCGTAGGCCTATGGAATTCCTATAGTGTGGATAGCCTATGAGGCCTGAGGCGGTGAGGCTATGGTGCACGACCGCCTCCACATCCATTGTTATTGATCCTTCATAACACATTAAAACCAGATAAGAGTAGGCTACACAAATCCAATGTTCTTAGATCTTGCAGAGCTCCGCGAGCCAATAGCCCATCACAGATTGCCCTCAACAAAATCACCCCACCTAACAGCAAACCTTTCCCATAACTGTTGACGGTCACTACTTTCTACTCATTCCAATAACAACTGTTGTCAAACTCAAACATAAGTTAAAAAAGTTCTGAATTTGTGCTACCTCTGTAGCTCAATTGGTAGAGCATGGCGCTTGTAACGCCAGGGTAGTGGGTTCGATCCCCGGGACCACCCATACGTAAAAATGTATGCACACATGACTGTAAGTCGCTTTCGATAAAAGCTTCTGCTAAATGGCATTACATATTACTACATAACACTTAAACAATGACTGCAGGATTTTTCTCCTTGTCTTCAAATGACGCCCAAGTAGCCTATCCAGTGTAGCTCTCCGTCCTCAATTAAAGTCAAGTGCTTGAGGGATAGACATACAGGGCAAGGCGAACTGGGGCGGGGATAACCAGCTCAGATAGCCAATCAGCGCAGGCTTCAGTGGCAGTAGTGAGAGTTGTAGTGTGGACATGACATCTACTGACACATCCGCTGTTGATTAGACCAGAGGCTGTTTCACCGCAATTAAATCACCTCGGGGGAAGATCAAGAGAGAAGAGCAACGGAGAGGACAACCCGATCAATACCTGGAGAGTTTAGACTTTTGAGGGGTTCTCTGGATGGGCGTCGCACGACTTTAGAGAGCGGGTTGAGAGAGTAGCCTATAAAACTTCGGTTGTGATATAATTATTTTTGGTATTGCGTAAATGTTATCATGGCGCTGGGCTGCTCCTCTTTCTCCATCAAGGACATCCTCACCCGGGGACGTGACGCACGAGACAACGTTCCAACTTCACGGGATATGACAGAACTCTGCACGTTAAAGCTTGCCTCCATCAACCAGGACCGGCAAACCGAGAGCAGGGATGGGAGCTTGAGGGGCCCCGGTTCATCCACATCGGATTGCAGTGACGAGCACAAGTGGGGTGAGATGGAGATTAAACACATCTGCCAAGGAAGTATTAGTTCCTCTCCCGGTTTGGGAGACATCCGGAACCCTATGTCCGAGTCCGGTAGTGAAGAGTCCACTGGAGAGGATGCGGAATACATGGCATGCAAAAAAGGTAGCCCTCTGTCTGTCTATAAGATTATTGGTATTGACCATGAATCTAAATGCAATTATAAACTGGGTGGTTCGAGCCCTGAATGTTGATTGGGTGAAAGCCGTATTCCACGGGTATGACAAAACATTACTTTTTACTGTTGTAATTACGTTGGTAACCAGTTTATAATAGCAATAAGGTACCTCCGGGGTTTGTGGTATATGGCCAATATATATATATATATGCCTAAGAGTAAAATGATAACCCTACTTACTGGCTTTGAACTTGTAGCCTAATTTATTGAGTAATAAACATCAGTGTAAGTGCTTGGGGACCTCTTCACTTGAATGACATGGAAACACGCGGTGTCCTGGAGAGATATAGACTAGCCTATGTTGTTGCTATTTGAAAAATAACGAGGTCGCCTGTTTGCCAAATAACCACAAGGCCTTTTACTTTTCTCTTTCCTCCAATACAGACATAAACAACAAACAACAACCCAGTCTGGATCAGGAAGATGAGGATGAAAGGGAGAGTAGTTACAGCACGGTGGGCCAATCCATATCTGGTAACAAGAAGCGCTCCCGTGCGGCCTTCACCCAAGCACAGGTCTATGAGCTAGAGCGTCGGTTTAACATGCAGCGCTACCTGTCCGGTCCTGAACGGGCGAACTTGGCGGGCGCCCTGAAGCTCACGGAAACCCAGGTGAAAATCTGGTTCCAGAACCGGAGATATAAGACCAAACGGCGGCAGATGGCGGCCAAACTTGCCGCCTGTAGCTCCTCTACACCAGCCACACTGGCTAAGAAAGTGGCGGTGAAGATCCTGGTTCGAGACGATCAGAGACAGTACCGAGGGGACGAGCTTCCTAGTCTGCCTGCTCTGCCTCTATACCCGGCCTACCAATATGGATACTACCCCTACATGTACTGCTTCCAGCCATGGATCTCAAGCAATGCGCTTTGTGGGGGCATGCATTGACATAATGGTGTAGCTACAATTCCTCACATGACATTCACTAACTTTATGGACTTACTAAAAGACGACAAAGACACTGGATAACCAGACGACATTTCTACATGCGTTTATGTGTAGCTAAATACTTTCTTTATTCTCTATTGGAGATTGAGGTCATTTCAACGCACAGGGAGCTTTTTGATACTGTATACCTGCAAGGCAAATGGGCCTATAGACATTACACTGACAACATTGATGGATACAGTTAAATGTAGTAGCCTACATGTAAGAGAAGGCCTAGATAATAATATTGGAATTATTACGCAGGAATGTGCATCGAGTTTAACTGTATAGTCAAATAATAACTAAATAAAGCTAAAAACAATTTGGCAGTCATCATTATCCTAATTTCATTGTTTACACACACAAAAAAAGATGACTAATTATAAAACAGGAGCAATATAGGTTAATTTAGGATTATGAAATATGTAGGCTAATATCAAGTGCTAAATCGAAATAAACTCCATTTGTATTTCCAACATTTTCATACACTTTTGATAGACTTTTCGATCTAAGCCTTGAACTTAATAGGTCTAATAACTTTTCACATTACTCGATCGCATATATGCAATAGATTCGTTAAAACATTGATACAACGGAAATACAATTCAAATACTTAGGTAAACTAACGACTTTTTTTTCTCCAAATTAAGCCAACAGCCATCTTCATGAAATTATGAAATTCGAAAGAGAAAAAAACAAATATATGGATTTCAAAATATTGTAGGCTTTTTTCTAAACATTCTTAGGGGTTGATGACGAATTTCATCATGACAGACACAATACAAGTACTAAAATAATAATAATATCTGCATTGTATCTGTATTTAGCTGCCTGTTAGAAGTTGAACACACAATATGTGGACATGATGATGCAAAATACTTTGCACCATTGAGGACGTAATACCTGTGAACATGGTTAGTATTAGCCTATGGTCGAGATCTTGAAGACTACAAGTAACTAAATTGAATAACCGACATTCTACAATCTAAAAATGCTGTGTTTGAAAACAACCCAATTTTATAATTGAATATGAGGCTTAGAATGTAAAGGGATCAAATCACATTTTATCTGTCACATGCTTCGTAGACAACAGGTGTAGACTAACAGTGAAATGCTTACTTACAATGCAGAGTTAAAGATAAGATAAAATACAAAATTGAAATAGTGACACGAGGAATAAATACACAGTGAATAACGAATACAAATTACGAGTAAAAATAAGATGACTAGCCTATATATATATATATAGGGAGTAGAAAAGAACATGGCTATATACAGGGAGCACCAGTACCGAGTCAATGTGCAGGGTACGAGGTAATTGAGGTAGCTATGTACTGTACATATAGGTAGGGGTAAAGTGGCTAGGCAACAGGATAGATAATAGACAGTAGCAGCAACGTATGTTGTGAGTGTGGAAATGTGTGTGTATGTGTGTGGCGTCAGTATGCATGTGTGTGCATGTTATGTGTGTGTGGGCGTATGTAGTGTATTATCATACAGGAGGATAGGCTAGTTTATATTTATTACATTTTTATTCTAAACGCTTTCACGTTTTCAAAATGTTGAGCCAAAAATCATAATTCATCTAACTAAATACGTGCTGCTGACACGGCCCTGATTTGTTTTGTGGTTAAAGTGTGCAAATGTCACCTACCTTCTCCACAGGGCTTTAAATGATTTTCCAAACAGATCTCGGAAGGTATTGGCATTAAGGACCATAAATAGTGACCGTGGTTGAATGGTAGACCTAAATCAATGTCATATTAATAGTAGATCTGTAATTCGTATTGGCTAATCATACATTTCCCTATTGATAATACAGGTATAACAACCAATCGAAATAAAATCATAATTATTTATTATTCAAATACATATTGAAAAGTACAGTTTAAGGTACTAATTTAAACTTTAATCCTGACCTAATAAACCTGGAAGAAAGTGTATAATCAAACGTGTAATGTTCACAAAATGCAAACATAAAGACAATTTGAATACGAGTGTGTACACGAATTGCAAACGTGTACCTACACGTAATAAAAACGTGTGATGTACACAAAATAAAAAAGTGTGTACTCTATGAATTACAAAGTGCACTACATAAACTTATACCTGAAATGTGTACAGTGCTTTCAGAAAGTATTCACACCCCTTGACTTTTTCCACATTTAGTTGGTGGAATTGAAATTGATTTGTCATTTTTTTGTCAACGATCTACACAAAATATTCTGTAATGTCAAAGTGGAAGAAAAATTGTAAAAAATTAATGAAAAATAAAATACTAATATATCTTGATTATGTAAGTATCCAACCCCCTGAGTCAATACATGTTAGAATCACCTTTGGCAGCGATTACAGCTTTGAGTCTTTCTGGGTAAGTCTCTAAGAGCTTTGCACACCTGGATTGTACAATATTTGCACATTATTATAAAAATTATTCAAGCTCTGTCAAGTTGTTTGTTGATCATTGCTAGACTGCCATTTTCAAGTCATGCCATAGATTTTCAAGCTGATTTAAGTCAAAACTGTAACTAGACCACTCAGGAACATTCAATGTCATCTTGGTAAGCAACTCCAGTATATATTTGGCCTTGGGTTTTAGGTTATTGTCCTGCTGTAAGGTGAATTTGTCTCCCAGTGTCTGTTGGAAAGCAGACTGAATCAAGTTTTCCTATAGGATTTAGCCTGTGCTTAGCTCTATTCCATTTATTTTTATCCTGAAAAACTCCATAGTCCTTGCCAATGACAAGCATACCCATAACATGATGCAGCCACCACCATGCTTGAAAATATGAAGAGTGGTACTCAGTGATGTGTTGTGTTGGATTTGCCCCAAACATAACGCTTTGTATTCAGGACATAAAGTTAATTTCTTTACCACATCTTTTTCAGTTTTACTTTAGTGCCTTATTGCAAACAGGATGCATGTTTTGGAATATTGTTATGCTGTACAGGCTTCTTCTTTTCACTCTGTCATTTAGGTTAGTATTGTGGAGTAACTACAATGTTGTTGATCCATCCTCAGTTTTCTCCTATCACAACCATTAAACTCTGTAACTGTTTTAAAGTCACCATTGGCCTCATGGGGAAATCCGAGCGGTTTCCTTCCTCTCCAGCAACTGAGTTTGGAAGGATGCCTGTATCTTTGTAGTGACTGGGTGTATTGATACACCATCCACAGTGCAATTAATAACTTCACCATGGGGATATTCAATGTCTGCTTTTTTTTTACCCATCTACCAATAGAGGTATTGGAAAACCTCCCTGCTCTTTGTGGTTGAATCTGTGTTTGAAATTCACTGCTCGACTGAGAGACCTTACAAATAATTGTATGTGTGGGGTACAGAGATGAGGTAGTCATTGAAAAATCATGTTAAACACTGTTATTGCAGACAGAGTGAGTCCATGCAACTTATTATGTGACATGCTAAGCAACATTTTACACCTAAACTTATTTATGCATGCCATAACAAAGGGGTTGAAGAATTATTGACTGAAGACATTTCAGATTTTAATTTTTAAATAAATTGTTTAATTAAAAATGTCTATAAACATAATTCCACTTAGACATTATGGGGTATTTTGTGTAGGCTAGTGACACATCTCAATTTCATCCATTTTAAATTCAGGCTATAACACAACAAAATGTAGGAAAAGTCTAGGGGTGTAAATACTTTCTGATGGCACTGTATCTATTCCACTAAATTATCATAAAAATAATGTATTACCGTGTGGAGTTTTGTCTGCTGTGTTTGTAGCCTAGCTTGTTAACTCCTGTTCTGAATCAGCTGTCTCTTCAGCTGCATGAGTTGAGAGGCCAAAAAGAAGAACAAAATAAAAGACTTCCCTTTATCCAAAAGTGTAGACTTCACTGAATTATGTTGATACTTGATCGTTTTGGGTGTTGGGGCTATATTAAGGGGTGCTGTTAAATTGTACAAATGGCACCCCATACCATATATTCCTATATACACTGAGCATACAAAACATTAAGAACACCTTGACACAAACCGGTGTGCTTGGCACCTACTACCATACCCCACGTTCAAAGGCACTTAAATATTTTGTCTTGCCCATTCACCCTCTGAATGGCACACATACACAATCCATGTCTCAACTGTCTCAAGGCTTAAAAATATTTCTTTAACCTGTCTCCTCCCGTTTATCTACACCGATTGAAGTGAATTCAACAAGTGACATCAATAATAGATTCATAGCTTTCACCTAGATTCACCTGGTCAGTCTATGTCATGGAAAGAACAGGAGGCTTCATGTTTTCTACACTCAGTGTATTACAGGTATGAATGTGTGTTTACTGCTGTTGTGAATCCCCTGCTCTAGGCCCAGTTGCATGAGTCAGATAGCTTCAATAGAGCATGTCGGTGTTGCTCCACACTGCCCTGCTGCTCAGGACAGAACCACATTACCGGTAATCATGCTATGCTGAAAAGACTGTACAGACTACACCCTCATCTCACTGCAATAGGCCCTGTTGAGCAACCTGGACTCAGGGGTAGACATAACATAGTAAAGGTAAATCTGGGATGCATTTACATTTACATTACATTACATACATGCGACAATAAGTATGATATGTTACGTTTCGTATGGTATGTATTCATTTGTGGATGTCCATCATCCATTTCATATGATATGTTACATATTACAATTCGTATGATATGTTGCAAATTGCAATTCGTACAATATGATACAAATTTGCAAAATGTATGCTATGCTATGAATTCCAATTGGTTGTGGCTAACGTTAGCTTGGTGGCTAACGTTAGCTAGGCTAGGGGTTAGAGTTAGGGGTTAAGGTTAGGGTTAGGAGTTAGGTTAAAGGGTTAAGGTTAGGGTTAGCTAACATCCTAAGTAGTTGCAAAGTAGCCAAAAAGTTGTAATTAGTTGCAAAGTTGCTAATTAGCTAAAATGCTAAAGTTGTCCATGATGAGATTTGAACACACA